TGATTCATATGTCGCAGCTAATATACACAACGGTTGAAATCAGAAATCAGAATAGTTTCCTTTTCCGACTCAAACTCTCATCAAATAAGGAGATATGTAGCTGCTGCGCCATCATTCTGACGGAGTCATGCCTGCGTCCAGCAGTACGGTGCTGTTAGCCTGGAGGGGCTGATGCTGTACCGCGCCAACATAAACGAGGAGCTCTGCATGAATGGAGGCTCCTCTGAGACTGTTCCCAGGCAATCTTCGGCATCTAGAGGGAAAGCATTGCCCTCTGCAGGTGAAAATGAGGAGAGCACTCTAAATGCTTCTCTGCCAAATGCTGAACCATCCCCAGCCGGTTCCTCCCGGCCCCCTCCGGCTTCCACACCTTCTCTAGCATCGTCTGTCGCTGCTAAACCTGCCGATGGCTCCACTGCTGCTTCAACCACGTCAGCCTCTTCAACCCAGGGGGGATACCACCCTCACAGCATCATCATCATCGGCCTCTTCCTCCCCTGAGCCAGGAGAAGCGAGGGCTGCAGGAGCTGGAGGCAGTACTAGCAGCTCAACAACAACTGCTGCTGACCTGATCAAGGCTGCACTTTAAGACTTGTTCTAAATGAAATTTATTTTTGTTTGCAATTGTATATACAAAAGGACTAAGGACTGTCTAAAACCATTGAGTTGTTTAACGTTAAATGGTACAATTGCCTTATGAATGAATAAAATAAAAATACACAAATCAATCTGCTGCTTTTTGGATAAAAACCCCAAAGTCTGATGATCAGAACAGTTTAACTGTAAAACAGGTTCTGTTTAAGCAGGATATCCAGGTCCTGGAACAGAAACTTAGTATCCTTAAACATCCTGGAGCCTGCAAACCTCAACCTCCTGGTTTTCTGTCTTCAGGTCTCAGCAGGCAGCCGGACCTCAGAGACTCCGCCTCCCCGTCTCCCTCCACCTTCCCGGATCACATCCATCCCATCTCTGCTACTAACCCACTCCAAGAGATGCTTCCCAGGCCCAGCGCCGAGCCCACCTTCTGCGCCCACGCCTCTGACCAGATGGTTCCGGACCCCGGCGCTGAGCGGATCTCTCTGACCACCAGCAGAGACATGGAGTTCCTCCAGCAGGCCATCAAAGAGCTGCGAGCGGAGCGTCTGGAGCAGCTGAAGCAGCTCAGACTGCAGCAGGTGATGCTGGAGCAGCAGGTCGAGTCCGATGTCGGACCTTTCTCCAATCCCATCGGCACAGAGGGAGGGGGAGGTCACACCACCCCACCCCCGGGCCCAGCAGCACCTCTGGAATCGTTGCGACTCACTCCAGGCAGGAAAGCCGTGGCGGCGAAGCTGGACTCGATTCACTCTAGGCTGCAGATCTGGGACAACAAAGGGTTGGAGGACAGACAGCCGCCCGCAGAGGCGGTAAACCCAGGAGCAGTGGTGGGATCCTTGACCGGGCCCCCTCAGAATGACACCGACCCATCCAGCCTAACTCAGGCTGCAGCCACAGAACTCTGTGATCCACAAGAATCCAACAGAGACAAGAAGCAAGAAGAAACGGATCAGAGAGAAAAATCTGATGGACCATCTGGTTCTGCTGGAGAGGACAGTGTGTCCAGGTGAGAACATGTCATGACGGTCTGTCAGCGCTCTGATGGTTTATGGGAGATGGAGGGAAAGAGGATAGATAAAGCAGCTGAACGCAGCCAAAAGGTTCTGAAGGCTCTGCAGATCAGGCTCTTCTTTGCTCCTTTGTCTGATTAGGAATAGGAAGTCAGGACATTAAATAGACCCAGAGCGGCCATTTTGTCTGCAGCAGCGCTTCAGTTTCCTCTGCTGCTGCAGAAACATCTGAATCCATTAAGTGGGGGGGGTCATTACAGTAATTAATGTGGTACACAGAGCAAGAGAAACCAAGTTGTCCTTAACAGTGGAGTTAATTCTCCTCACCACCAACAGCTATCTACATGGTCTGGCTGTTGAGCACCACTTTGGTTGCAGCGGTGGAGATAAACTAATGGAGCTGCTCCATCGCTAGTTCAATCTTATCTAGAGTCAAAGGAGCCTCGTTTGTCCAGGCGGACATGAATATGTCTTCTGGGAAAAGTTGGTTTATTACAGGAAAGACACTGACGGATAAATAGGAGATAACAGAATAATACAATAACAGGAGGTAACCTAATAAAACAGGCTGTAACTGGTCGTAACAGGAGGTAACCTAATAAAACAGGCTGTAACT